CGCTACTTATAGGCTATACAAGGCATTAAAAAAGGAACAGAATAACTCTACAACTAATATTCCTTATTTACAGAGTTGACTAGGCCCATAGTTATTAAAAGCCCAAGGCGCACCGAGGCGCTAAAGGTCCCTTGGAGCCTAGGCGCACGGCGAGGCGCGAGCCTGAGTGATGTGAGGCGCACAAGTAAAATTTTAAAACAATAATTCTTAGCAAAAATAACACAATTAAACAATAAACATCCAATAATAAAAACACTAAATTAGTCTAAATATATCACAATTAGAACAATTAAACTAATAAAGCTATTTATTCATAAGAAAGATTCAATAAAAGCAAAACATAAACCAATTAACCATATATTATAAATTTATACTTGATGTCTGAAGCAATCATTTGACTCCAAAACAGATCCATCAAAAGATACTTAGTAGCCTACCAAATCTATAAACCAAGCAACAAAATATCAGTTTCAGTTTTGAGTTTTGACAAGGACTCCTAAAACCAAAGTTACCAAACAATCTTAAGAGACCTAAATATCATCCTCTTCACCAAACAACATAGTTGCATCATCGTCCCCATCAAAAGATTTGTAACCCTCAGCATCTTCTTCCTCTTCTGTGTCCTCAGAGTTTGCCTCCTCATCATCTATGATTCGTAGTGAAGACGAGCATGAAGGTGTTGTCCTCTTTGTTGCCCTTGGAGCTGATCTTGATCTTAAATTATGGCTGGACTCTCCAGCCCCGGTAGCTCTAGCAACTGCACCCCATGTCAAAGAGTCATCTTCAAACACCAACTCATTTTCGGGGTCTACCTCTTCATCCATTATTCCAACCAACCACTCATTGCTATCATCTATATCATTTAAAAGGATGGGATCGATCCTATCACGCATATCATATCGTCGTTTTAGTGCTCTATTATACTTGATGAAAACCAAATCATTCAATCGGCATTGAGTTAGCCTGTTCCTCTTCTTGCTATGAAGCTGCATTAATTCAAATAATTAATAAGTATAAGTGTATAACTATTTATAATATAAATTTTTATTATTGAATTACTAATACTAAAAACTTACATGTTCAAATACACTCCAATTTCGTTCACACCCAGATGCGCTACATGTGAGGCTAAGCACTTCAATAGCAAACTTTTGCAAATTAGGAGTTGTAGAACCATATGCGGACCACCAATCGGCTGTTATTTACATATTATTAGTAAAAAATTAACAAAATTAAAATTCAAATATACTAAAAAATAATTAATTGAGTTGTTTACCTAGTGCCCTTGACTTTCTTTGTCTAACAGCAATTGATGAGCCAAATAGACCATCAGCTTTCATATATGTACTGAACTCCAAAGAAATTTTATCTTGCACTTCAGTGGTTGGAACCAATCTTTCTATGCATTGATATAAACCACCCATCACCTCTTCATCTTGCTCAATATTTGGATTGCTATAAAAATATTCTGGGTTTAAGAAATGCTCAGCTGCATGCAAAGGGCGATGGAGTTGGATATTCCACCTTCTATCAATGATCTCAAAGATGTCCTTATACTTCTCCTCATTCCCACCAAAAGCTTTAGCTATCGCTTCTTTAGCCCTTTCCATAGCCTCATAAATATATCCCATTGGAGGCCTTCTCTCACCATCAACCAACTTAATTACACGAACAAAAGGGCTTGCTACTTTGAGAGAGTACACAATGCTTGTCCAAAATGTAGGCATCAACACAATATGTGCTACATTTTTTCCTTGTATCTCTTTCGCCCATTTACTGGAGGTCCATTCTTGTGAAGTGAACATCTTCCTCAAGCAATCCTTTTGACGATGGATGCTTGATAACGTGATAAATGAAGTGGCAAATTGAGTCGTTGCAGGTCTAAGCAACTCTTTATGTCCAGTACAACGCCTCATCATGTTTAACAAACCCGAACGGTTATAAATATAACCATTTAACATTATAGCTCTCTTTATGGTCATCATTATATTTGGGATCTTAGCAATGTCCTCCAACATCAGGTCCACACAATGTGCAGCACAAGGTGACCAATGCAAATGTCGGTGCCTTCCCTCCAACATTCTCCCTATTGTAAAGAAAGAAAATTTGGATTAATAGAAGGCTAAAAGCAATAAACCTAAATTTTTCACATCAAGTACATATTGGCATCTATACCTACCACAACATTAGAAGATGCACTATCAGTGACTACTTGAACCACATTTGTTGCTCGAATTTGCTGCACTAACTTGTTATGCAAGTTGAACATTTTTTCACCGGTCTTTGAATAAGAGGAAGCATCGACAGATTGAATGAACATTGTCCCTTTAGGACAATTCACCAGAAAATTAATCAAACACCTCTGTCTCTTATCCTCCCATCCATCTGCCATAATTGTGCATCCGTATTTTGCCCATTCCTCTTTATGATCCCGCATTAAATTGTCTGTATGCTCCAGTTCTTTCTTGAGGAGGGGAACTCTCACCTCATGATAAGACGGAGGTTTCATTCCTGGACCATGTTGGCCAATAGCTTCAACAACTGGTGCAAAACTATCATAATTAAGGGCATTGAATGATATCCCGGCATCATACATCCATCTTGCAAACCGTTGGCATGCTCGGTTTCTAAGTTCTTTCTTACAAGCACTGTCAATTGTTATTTGCTTACCCTTGTCATTATTTCTATTTTGCACAACCACTTCCGGAGGAGGGGTGAAGTACAAATCAATAGGACCTTTCTGCTTCTGTTTTTTTGATTGAATATTATTGCTTCCAGTTCCATTTGCCACTCTTTTACCCTTAACATCAATAATTGCAACATCATCCTCATCTTGATCATTCATGTCATCAAAATCAGGCAACAAATTTGTGTATTCCTTTCCTTCTTTCTTCTTGCCATGTATTCTCTAATCTCCTCTTTCACATGTTCAGGGCACTTTTTACATGCTTGTACATTTCTATGTCCTCCTACAATGTGTTGCTTAGCCCTGTAAATACCCCCTTTCATAACTTTTTCACAAAAATTACATGCTGTCGCATTCCTATCTTGTGGGTTTTGCAGGTGACAATAATTCCAAGTGGATCCTTTGACATTTTTTCCTATATATTTAGTATTTACAATGAGAAATAGAATGGAGTGATGGACCAAGTTAAATTCAGCAAACAACATTCACACTTTCAGCAAACACCATTCAGAAAGATGCATTCAAAATTTAAATAATCTATGTAGCAAAATTCAGCATAACACAACAAAAAAAGAAGAAGAGACAGACAGCCTTCAAAGAAGAAGGGAGAAAAAAATGATAGAGAGAGATTATTGGAAGAAAAAGTCAGAGATTGAAAAAAAAAAAAAAAAAAAACAGAAAATACGGTGGAGTAGATGAAGGGAAAAAAAAATGAAGGCTAGAGAGAACAAAAACAGAATCTGAAATTTTACAACAATTAAGATGCAACAGACAACAAAAAAATAATAATTTTAAAAAGTCTTATTCTGTTCGGTATTTCTTTTTTAAAGGGTGAGGTGGTGTACTGATTCTCCTACGGGTAATATAGCACCGCAAACTATGTTTGCTGAAGACTTTGATGATGAAGAGCGTACAGATATTACAGCTATACACCAAGAAGTTGAAAATGATGTGAAAAAATACAACGAGAAAAAAAATACAGGCCAGAGAGAAAAAAAAAATATATATATATATATATATATATATATAGCAAGACACGGGAGAGGAGTAGATGAAGAAAAAGAAAGAAGAAAAAAAAAAGAGAGTCCCACAAGAACAAAAACAGAGATGGAGAAAAAGATAGAAGAAAAAGAAATAAAAGAGACCCAGAAAAAGAAATAGCTAGAAAAACACAAAACCAGATATATAGAGAGGAGGAAGAAAAAAAGAGACCCAGAAGAACAGAAACAGAGACGGAGAAAAAGAAAGAAGTAAAAAAAAAAAAAACAGAGACACAGAAAAAGATAGATGGAGGCAACTGATAGCCCTCCCCTCTTCTCTTCTCTCTTCTCTCTCTCTTTCTTTCTCTCTTCTCTCTGTTCTCTCTCTTTCCCACTCCCTCACGTCTTTATTTCTGCTGCAGCTTTTGCTCTTGACTGATTTGTTTTGTTAACTATTGGGAGACATTGGGTTGCCTCACAAGTCACAAGAAGACAAATTTTCATTTTGTACTTTTAAGTTTCCAAAAGCTGTAACTATATATATATAATAATATAAAGTAAAAAAGCAAACACATAGTACACGTAATACATCAAAGGAAACACACAAACAAATTATAAAAGGAGCACAGAATATATGAAGCGTGCCTGAGCGCACCTCTTAAAATATCCAAGGCGCAGCCCAGGCGCGCGCCTAGTGAAGGTCGCTGCGCCTGGGCTAGCATGAGGCGCATAAGGTGCGCCTGTAGGCGCCTTGCGCCTAGGCACGCGCCCAGGCGCGCTTCTAATAACACTGACTAGGCCTATATTTAAACATAAAATACAGCTAGGAATCCCTAGAGATAAGCAATAAATCTCAGCTGAATATTCTCCTTTCCAACAGAATCAGTAGTAAAATTACTTTGTTGCTGCTTCGGCTCATCGCACTGCGTTTGGAAATGTTGATTTTACAGTTTCTTAACTGAAACTCTGTAAAAAATTGTAGATTTGACATGTTTTCAGTTACATGCAGATGAAATTTCGAGTTTTGTTACGTCAAGTTATATTCACCAACCTTGAGAGTATCTGATCTCACAATGCTGGCTTGGTGCTTGAATTCATTTTTAGAGTCATGCACCTAGTCCATCCTCAGCACCCTGCATTGGCAAGACTAATACTGGATAATGGCCTTCTGATTTTCTTAAATGGTCCTTGTTATTGTCGATCCAATTTTATGATTTTTTATCTTGCTTTCATGTTTTCTTTTGTGCATGTGTGTATCTGGGAATAAAATTTTAAGTCCTGCAGTAGTTTGATTTTGTGTAGCACTGCTTCTCTAACATGATACTCTTGTGCAGCCTGATCGCGTGATGGAATTCTGCAACAATAATGATCTTCAATTGATTGTACGGGCACACGAATGTGTGATGGATGGCTTTGAGCGTTTTGCACAGGGACATCTTATTACACTTTTCTCAGCCACCAACTACTGTGGTTTGTTCCTGGTCTTCACTTGTAGAGCTTCTTAGCTTCATTGCCACTGTTAGTGTATTCATGTATGGTTTTCCTCTTTCTGTAGGCACTGCTAATAATGCTGGAGCAATTTTAGTTTTGGGTAGAGATCTTGTAGTGGTTCCGAAACTCATTCATCCATTACCACCAGCAATTTCATCACCAGAAACATCACCTGAGCGTCATATAGAAGATACATGGATGCAGGTTCTTCCATATTCTTAACTAATTATTTCTCTCTGACGTGACTTCCTTTTTGTGCCTTTATGCACATTGTCCTGGGATTGACATTGTGTTGCTTTTATATGGGATTAGGAGCTTAATGCAAACAGACCACCAACACCAACGAGGGGCCGTCCTCAAGTTGCTAATGATCGGGGTTCTCTTGCTTGGATTTAGTAGATCCTCCATACTGTTTCTTTGTATTTGTTCCAGGCTCAATACTACTGCCTGGGTTTTATGGTGTTCTGTGTATAGCATGCTGCCATACGGATGATGCTGAAACTGCTGGAGTTTTAAAGCCTTTTGAACACCATATTTGACATAATTGGTAGGTGCCTTCATACAATGACGATGTTAGTTCAGAAAATGAGTTGCAGTTGATGGGTGGTTTACCTTATTCACAGTGCTATAAGTAGTTCGGTATTCTCCAAAAGCTGCCTTTGTACATTGAACCGAGAGCAGGAAGAAATTAGGATTGCTTATTTCTTCGGATGGGTCAGTAGTGCTTGAGCATTTTTCTCCTTAGCCTATGTATTTTTATTCCTCGTTTTAGGTGTATTAATTTTTTTCATTTTTTCTTAAGAAGCGGTGGGTGAGATATATAAAGTTGAAGCGAAATCTCTGAGATATATAAAGTTGAAGTGAAATCTCTTGATGACGAGAAAGTAGCTCAAAAAGTAGCTACAGCGGCGATTTAGTCAACTTTAGCCACTCAAGCATCCCCTCCCCTTAGAGGGGGTAAATCGTGCCTTACTATTCATGCTGTAGAGTTAAATTCTTTTTGGGCGTTTGTGTATTATAAAGGCGTTGCTTTGTATAATTCGTGTTCCCACTTTGTACCATATAGATGTGTGAACTTTTTGGCTTCTCAGCCTTAAAATATAGGAGGTTTTGTCGACACTGTGTTCGTTTCTTTTTAAATTTTATTTACGGTTAATGTGATGCTGATATGGGGGTATATATATGATTTATTGGGCACAACTTTTGCTTATTGTGATTAAGGATTCAATGGCTTGTGTAGTGTGCTCCATCTTCTTGGTTCATTATTAACTTTTGAACAATTGTGAATTTTTACTATTCATCCGGTCATTGTTGTTAGATGGATTAACATTGCCCATATTGGCTCAAAGCTCAACTGCCACGCCGTTAAATGTGCAAATTTGATATGGTAGTAATAAGGTATATCCATTTTGTAGCAGCTTTATTATTTCTTTATGCCAAGTATGAGCATGTTTTGTTATTTGCAACATGGTTGGTTGATTTTATTGGAAGAGATGAGTGTGGGCATGGCAAATGAATGGATTATATTCCAAAATGATGTGTTGAGTCATTTTATTGAGTTTGACGAGGGATTATGAGCTAGGTGGACCGGATTTGAAATTAGGGTACCAAAAATCCTAATTGAAGCTCAATTTGAGATGGGGGAAAATTATTGAGAATGTTAGGAAATGATGAATTTTCACTTTGTGGGTGGATTTGAGGACTTGTTCATTCTGATTGAAATCGAAATAAAGTTCAATACAAAGCCCAATTCGTGGACAATTATACAATCGGATGATTAAACAGTCTGGGAAAAACTTAAAATGATAATATTCTACTTTTGGGGTGAATTTGTAGTCTCCTTTTGATTGATGGACATTGTGAAGTTTGAGTGTGATAAAAATGACTGAAAAAGTGGTGGTTTAGGGGTGGCAATTTGGTGAGATTGGGGGGGTTGGTTATGAATGGGTCAATAACCTATTATCAATCAATTTATGGTGGGTCATAAACTGGTTGGAGCTTAACTGGGTGGGTTGTAACTTTCATTAGGTTAGAGCTTAAATGGGTGGGTTGTAACTCTCATTTTAGTTTGTCTTCTCAACAATTATTGAAAGATATTAAGAACTTGTAACAAATTAACCATAGATAATATGTAACGGGTGGGTGCATTTATCCAAAAGGTCAAGCTGTTAGGTAGTGTTGCATACCGATCTTATTTATGCACACTTCAACCCTCATCTCCATTAATGGTGGGTCATAAACTAGTTAGCTTAAATGGGTGAGTTATAACTCTCATTTTAGTTTGTCTTCTCAACAATTTTTGAAAGATGTTAAGAACTTGTAATAAATTAACAACTGATAATATGTAACAGATGGTTGCTTGCCCATGTATCCAAAAGCTCAAGCTGTTGGGTAGTACTGCATATCCACCCCATTTATACACGCTTTAACCCCCATCCAAATATGACAAGTCTCATTTGTAACATTCCCCCCCACCCGAACCCACGCAATGCCCTCGTTGCGGTCTGGCCACCCTGTCTACCTGGGGTCAGACCTGGACGCTTTTCGGACTGGGCACTTGGCGTGATACAAGATTAAAGATTGAATCTAGCTCTGATACCAACTGTAACGGGTAGACCCTTGCTCATTTACTAAAAAAAACTTATGTTGTTGGGTAGTACTGCATACCCACCCCTTTTATACACACTTTAAACCACCATCCAAATTCGATGTCGAACAAGTCCCACTTGTAACATAATACAAGTTTAAAATGACTACCATGGTGAATAATTAACTTTAAAAAATATATTTGCAAATAACATTCGAGATGAGTACACTTAATTTAATTTACACCTTCATAAAACAACACTAAAGATGCACTTATAAAATATTTACTTTATAAAATATATATCTGCAAATTACATTCGAGATGAGTACACTGAAATTAATATCCACCTTCATAAAACAACACTAAAGACGCATTTATCAAAAGAAGAAAAAAAAAAAAAAAAAAAAAAAAACAACAACAACAACAACAAAACGCAAATTTAAATGAGGTGTCCTTTTTTACTTTGGGATAATTTAATAATTAGTATGTATTTGGAGCACTATTTAAAATACAATAAATACGAAAAAAATAATTCAACAACTTTACAAAAGAATTCAAATACAAGAATTATACAAATATGATCCAAAATGCCCCTTAGCCTTTTTGAAGTCTATTACTAAAATGCCCAATTTAATATAAAATGAAATTACCAAAATAACCTTCATGAATCTAACAAATATATCCCCTAATTTTTAGACCAATCCATTTCTCATCTTCTCCCTTTCTTACATTTCTGTTGTCCAACCTAGGGCAAGGAACACCATTCCTGATTTTCAGAATGACCAGCCATTTCTCAAACACAAAAAGCCCTTTTTTCCATTTCTGATTTTGGCCTCTTAATGCTCCAGTCTGGGTCTCTCATTTATGTGGTAAGATTTTGGCTTCTTGATGCTTCAGTTCGGGTATCTCATTTCTGTGGTAAGATTTTGGCAAGACAACACAGTCCGTGTGTCACCCCAAATTTGAAGATGTGACGGCCAGAATTTCAAATAACCCAGTGCGTCAGCAAGTAACCCATAACCTGACCCGCTATCGAGTCCAAAATGCGGAAGCAAGAAAGGATAAGCGTCTCTAGAGGTAGACTTTACCTCTAAGACAACAAAGTGGCTATCAAAGAAGTCACGAACTCAAAAGAAATCAATGATTGCGGAAGCAAAACAACAGAGAAAGTCACTAGAGGCGAATACCACCCCTAGAACGAAGGAAGATCCTCAAACGAGAGAACGATGCTCAAAATGGAACCAAATGCGGAAGTTAAGGTCAAAAAGGTTAAACGGTACCTTTCGGCACCGATAACGATTGAGAGAACATGAACTAGGTCAAACTAGATCATGAACGCCATAAAATGGCTCATGTAGGGTCAAAAGTAAAAAATAAAAGCAACAAGAAGGTCCAAGGATGCAATGACAACTGACCAAGACAAAGCTGACGACAAGAAGGCATTTCAGTCATCTGAAATGAACCTAATCACTTTAGTCATCCTAAATGAGAAAGAGAAACAGCCGAAATGAAGCTTGGTGCTTTGGTTGTCTGAAATAGGAAACCAGTCATCTAGTTGTGACCCAAAAATGGAAACACTGTTCAATTGAATTCAAAAGAGACCGATCGACCAAAATGGAGTACCGGTTGACCAAAATGACTCGGAAAGCTGTAAAAATTTCTGCTGCAAACCAGAAATGCAATGGACTTCAAAATTGAAGTTCCTAAGTGCAATGTAAGATGAAATGTCATGATAGTGCCAAAACGTGTAGATAAATACTCACAACATGCTTATCAAATCAAAAGACATGTGAAACATACATTAAACATTTAAAACGGCCCATTGGCTTCAATTACAACATTTGATCCAAAATGTACATTATACATACATGTTTACAAAACTATTACAAAAAGGGCTTGCTAAACACCTTCTATGCAAATAAAATAAGTATGTCCATGACACCACATCCACAAAAAACAAAAGTAAGCTTCCATCCGTAAGAGAAAGTCAACACCTGAAAAATGTATAATCAACGGGTGTGAGTAATTTAAATTACTCCGTAGGAAAATGCATCATGCGGATAACCTAAGGTTTCAGTGGCTTTGCAAGCCTAACATAAATCACAACATGTGGAACATGCCTCCTAACGTCTAGTTCATAGGTAAAACTAGGGGATCATCCTAGAACTAACATTGAAGCATTATAAACCAATTTCACAATATAAAAGTATGCTTAAGCAAATTGGAACATCCAATACCAAAATCACCATAAGTAAATAAATAAAACCAAATTGGAAACATCCAATACCAAAATCACTATAAGTGAATAAATAGAACCAAATTGGAACATTCGATACCAAACCACAAGCTACAATTACACATAATTGTCAACTCTGGAATAAAATGCGAAATCACATAATAAGAATATCTTGGACATCAAATCCTGGAATAAAACCAAGACAAATAGCTATTTTGGGCTACTAACCCGCAAGGAACTACCTAAGTGCGCACTATATTGGAGAAAACTTATATCTCCCGCACTAAAGCCGAACTCTGGCCATATCAACATAACAATAGCCCAAGTATTTCAAAAAATAATCAATTATATCCACAACATAATTATAAATGTATAATGCACATTGTTCAACTTCCATGCGCACATAAGATATAAAAATCACACAATCCATGTCCTAAATCCACAAGGTCATTTATGACATGATATCAACAAGTCCACAACATGTATAAGCTTACACTGGCATTGTGATATCAGCACAAAGAATTAAATCATACAAATATTGTAAGCCTTGAACATTTAATTAGACAACAACACAAAAACTAAACAAGCCTTTAGTAAGAAAAATGGCAAGAAGAATACAATATTGCAACAATGGTATTTCAACGAAATAAACACAATATGGTCTTCTACCAATTAAATGACAAACTATACAAGACAACAACCATATATATGCTTTAAACAATATGCAAGCCTAAGTCAAAATGTAATCTCATACATATATATACTTACAACTCACACAACATGCATATAATATATGGTAAACCCCAAAATAAAATGAAATCCAAAGGTTACAAACATACTACACCCAAATCCAAACCCCAGCTCAAAGCCGAAACTCAAAAATAGTCGAAACGAAAATCCAATTGGATGAAAATGAAGGCCTTGCCAAGGCCAACATAAAAGCCTTCTATGGCTAAGGGTAAATCAAAGTGGAAGGAAGCTAAAAGGAGGAGAGAAGTAAGAAGATCAAAAGGGGGAAAAAAAAATGGCAGCAGCCGTGAGCTAGGGGAGAGGGGAAATATTTGATATTTTCTTTCTCCTCGACCTTTTATAGAAATCCAAAAATATCTCCTGAACGAACCCCACGTGGCCCTGAAAAGTGAAAATCGTCAAAACGCGCTCAAACGGAATAAGACCGTAAACAAAAAAGTACTGTTATGAAAAATGATGAACAATGAAAGAAACGGCATAAAAAAATGAGTCCCGAGCAGAAAGATATGCCCCGAGCAAGAACAGCGACTCCCGAGGTCAAAAACCCTAAAATAGGGGGAAAAAAAACGTCTGGAATGCATTTCTA